TGTGTGGGGTTAGGCTTAGGACCAAGGTTTAGGTTAGTTTTAAGTTAGTTAGTTTTAAGTTTCTGTGAGGTTAATTTTAGAGTATATGGTCAGGGTTAGGCTATAAAGTCTAAAAAACATGAATGGAAGTCAATGGAAGGTCCCCATGGGGTCAAGAAACAAACATGTGTGTGTGTGTGTGTGTGTGTGATTAAATCATTGCTTGTTTTGGTTTAGCAGTATAGAGTTTTGTATTTATTAGTAGTTTCAGCTTTCTAGAGAGCTTCACAGTGACAAGGACATCAATTCAGACTAATACAACAACTTAAAAATGATGAAATGATGAAAAAAAAGTTTTTTAATGATGAAAACAAATCAAATAATTTAACATTTACAATACAGGAAATTAAATACGATCAGTTTCATTATGGGATATATTAAAACCTGAGATTAAATTGCAGATCTAAAGCATAAAAAACATTGTACACAATAATAGACATGAGACAGAGAGACTTCATTTGATTTATGATTTCRTTTTATTGTCCAGTTGAAGGTTTAAGTGTGCAGCTGTCTGACAAGATAATCACAGCATTCTCACTGCACTTTGCTTCATTCAAGAACAAAAGCAAAAATTACTCTTACATACTTAAGCATTCAACACATCCATGCAGAAAATACAAAAGGTCATATATCTAGCAATATGGTTCACTAAACATGTTGTGGTTCATTTAGAGGTAACTTCCACCAGATGGTGAATTTAATCGTACTTCAGTTTGTACAAATCTGAAATGAATTTCAGTGTCATGTGAAGTCATTTTAATGTCTCGCGCAAACATTTTTTCCATAATAAATCTTTTCTGTCAACAGTTTATAAATCTGTGACGCTTGTGTGTTGAGAACTTTAAGACATCAGAGAATATTAGAAGTTTTTATATTAAATCCTTGGTTTAATAAATTTAAACAAAGCGTACTATCTTCAATAACAATCATAAACACTTCAGATGAAAATAATACTGATTAAATCATATGACTCAATGTTTTATTAAATTGAAGCCTTCAGCTTTTTAAACTGTCTATAATTATCTGAAGGATGTGCAGGTGTCASAGAGATTTATTTACTTTTCTTTGTGTTGTGACTCTTCATCCTTGTTAACTTAAAGTTGAAAAGACATTTTAGCAAATTAGAACGCAAAAATGTTACAGTAAACATCATCTTTGCTTGTTGACAAAGATGAACAGGAACATTTTTCTCTGTAACATTAGCAAAATATSTCTTTAACCAGGATTTTATTGAAACCCTCAAAGTAATTATTGAATATCTACAAAGTAATATTTTGATATGAACCACAATTCAAGATGTCCACCATAACCAAATGAACAATGTTAGATAGCTAATTCATAACAAAAAATCAATTTATCTACAGAATTAGATAGTTCAAATCTGAATTCTGATTTGAATGCAGAACTTATTAATTCAATCAGGTGTGATGGAAAACAAGTATAAATCATGCAGGATTGTGGCCTTTGATGACAACCCTTGTTCACACTGAGTCATAATGAGAAGTAACAAAGTTGTTTTTACAACAGTAACTATAAAGAAAATAAACTGACATAGCTTAATACATTTAATCTACAGAATAAAACGTGAGAAAATAGCTTTCTTTTCATCACTGGACTCCTGGAGAAATGTTTCTTTAACAGATCACTTCCTGGTTTCTAGCCAATCACTGTACGAGCGAAAGGTCACRTGTCGTAGGTCAGTCTCCACCGTGTGATCTGACTGGGAAAGGGGGTGAGTCTTCAGATTCGCTTTCTAAACCTTTTTTTTTTTTTTTTTGGCCGCTTTTAATTTCCAAAATGTATTAGCAAAGGTCGTTTCACACTCTGACAATCTTCAACGTGTTATGTAGCGTGTTGTGTCTGAAATCAAGTTGGTGTTAAGAGGTTGCAGGCTCAGAACGACCAAAACATGCCAGCAACTTCGTGCACTAAACAACTTGTGCATTGCTTTTATTTCATATTATTATACAGCAAATACGATATGCAGCTCCTAAACAAATAAACACATTTATATTTTGTTTGGTTGCTTGCTGAAGTGCCAGCAGAGACAAATTTAAATTCTCTGCATTCAGCAGTTCAGATTGACTTCTGCACCTCCATTCAAGCATGAAATGGTTTTTGAGTAGTCAGTGATAACTATAATTTGTTGTTCACCATTTTGCTGAAAGTAAAAAACACTCAGTTAAAGTTGAATAAAAACCTAACCAGGTGTGAGCTAACAGAACAAAATAACTGTGTTCAGGAAGTGATAACTTGTTAAAGCTGTATTTTTGCATTACTCTTAATACCAGATACAATTATATGCTTTGGAGTTTGATCAGATAAAAGTTAAAGCAACATTTCAGATTTTTTTTTTTTATGTAGAAGGATAATAAACAACATCTTACCTGTTGTTGTAGATAGCTCTTTGAACAAACTCATTCTGGAGAAAGGGTTTGATAATGACCTTAACTGTAGTGGTTTGTGTTAGAGGTCAACCAGTGTGTTTGTTTTCTCTTATATTCATTTTTTTTTTTTACAAATCAGGGCAAAGAAATATACCATGATTCATCTGATTTGTATTTATCATCTGAATTCTCCAAACAATTGGTAACAAAAAGCTGCCAATGATTAATCAAAGTATAATTTTGTAGTAGTTACCCATTTTTTATTAGGGAAGGGAAGATTTATCACCAAAATGAGCCTGATTTTGATCAATACTGTTTCTTTTTCTCCGTCCCAGTCACAGGWGCAGTGAAAGGTGCACTATGGGCCGGCTGGATGGGAAAGTGATTGTGTTATCCGCTGCCGCGCAGGGGATTGGACGTGCTGCTGCTTTAGTAAACAATTTTAATTGCAACCTTCTTGCTAATTCATGCCATTGGAAATCTCATGCCTGCCTCCATGCATATTTTTTTTCTGTACAGAGTGTGATGTTTTATGCAATTGTAGGAAAAAGCTGCACAGAAATTTGCAGGTTGCGAGCTTTTCCTTGCAAATAACAACTTTCCAAAAGCGAAAACAGTTTAGCGTTAGTGCTCAGCGATTCCAGTAATAGCACACTTTCAGGCTGATTGTTAAGCTTAGTTTCATCACAAAGGTAACAAAACACTCAGGTTTTCTGTGCATTCTTTTTAAGATTGGGTCATCAGAGCCATTACTTCTCAAATGAGCTTCATGTTAGAAGGTTTTGTCTCCCCTAGCATGATGAATTCTTAATAATAAAGTCGACTTCAGTAGTTTCAGCTTATTAGATTTATATTGCTTATATAGAAAAGATGCAAACTATGAATATACATAACCAACTGTATTTGTACTTTAAAAGGTGACAAGTGATTGAAAGTGTCATTGTTCCTTATCCATGTTGCCTCCACTATCATATATTTGTCTAAATGACTTTGTTGTCTCACCAAAACTTTATTTATTCAACTTGGTTTTAGAACAGAATGTTTGTTCTTTCAAAGGTTACAGTGGAAATGTGACTTGCATACCTTAAACTTTGGTGGCTCATTCAAGTTTGTTTGTTTTTTTTCCCTTCAGGCTTTTGCGAAGGAAGGAGCTCAGGTCACAGCGACAGACATAAATGGAGAAAAGCTAAAGGAGCTGGATGGCATTAAAGGTAATGAGGAGTTGATCTGTTGGTCGGTGTGCAGCTGCCATCTGCTGGCAAACCAGAGGGATGCAAACTGTAACTCATAACGCCCAGTTATTATGGGCTAACATCTTAAAACTTAATAATAATGTTAACAAGATTTGTTTACTGACTTAAGTTTTTCAGAATAAAAATGTTATTGTCACTTATATAAACAAGTCAGGCCTGAGACATGGATTATATCATTTCCTTGGGAGACAAAACCTACGGAACAATTATCTGCTCATTAACTTCCCTTAATTGAATCAAAGCAGCTAATAAAAAATTATCTACGTGTTATTTTATTACAGATTCCTCTTCCTTTTCCATTTGAGCACACTCAGTTGTTCAGGGGGAAATTAGTTCACTGATTTCCCATCTGAGGTTTAAATAAAGGATCCTTTTACTATCCCATCCTAGAAGATCATTTTAATTTAGTCACATATTCTGTCCAACAGATAAAACTGTGTGACTGACTGTGCAAGAGCCACACATAATAGTTTCTGTTAAGTAAATGCACTTCTCAAATACCATGTCATAACTTTTTTTTGTCTCTATATTCTACATTTAAAGGTATTTACAATTAAGCAGTAAATAATAGCAATAATGTGCTTTTATTATTTGAAACAAGTGCTTTTTTTTCCCATATTTTGTCGTCATCAGGAATCAGGACCAAAGTGGTGGACGTGACTAAAAAAGACCAAGTGGAAGCTCTGGCCAAAGAACATGACCGTGTTGATGTGCTGTTCAACGTTGCAGGGTGCTTTTTAGTTTTGTGATTTGATTCATTTAATATATTAATAAGAACAGTTTAGTTTATTTGATCCTGTAAGTCGGGTGTGTTAAAGCAGAGAAACATTTCAAACATGCAGGATAGTGGCTCTTCAGGAACAGGACTGGACTACGTCACTGCTCTAAGTCATTATTTCCCCTCCGAACACATGTTTTCAACCCCTGCACTGCTCTGTTTCTTTCAAAAAAATCCCCGTACCATATGTTTAAATCTTCACTTGACCTTTTCTCAGTTTTCTTACTAAGGAACAAATGCAACTTTTAAGGTTCTGTAATGACTTKGGACTTTGTGTAAAGGACAGACATTCTTTTTCAAATATCAGAGCAGCAGTGGCTTCTAATTATTGCCTGCCACTAAAGGTGAGAGGGTGATAATATTTTTTGCCTGCATGTGTATAAGTGTGCTCATTTGTCAGTCATGTTAGCAAAATACCTCATGAATCACTGGATTTATTTTAATGAAACTCCTGAAAATATAATCACTGGATGTCCCTCTACAACTTATTAAACTTTGGAATCAACTCGTCAAGTTGGCCACCACTGAATCTGACATTTGCTAATATAAAAATAGCTAAAAGTCAACAACTTTGACAGATACAGCACTAAATTTTGGTGAGGAGGTAGCTGAGAGTCATACCCATCACTTACCGTATTTATTCAAGTATAATACGTAAAACCTAATCCATAAAATCATCCATAAAGTTGGGGGGTAGTGCTATACTCGGATAAATATTTGTACTTGTGTATTTTAACTAAAATATCGGCTTCATTCACAAAATGCCTGAGTCCGGAAATGAGACCATGACATAAAAAGCAGTTGAAGCAAGCATACCTCTGACACTCCTTCGTGCCTCAGAGCGAGATAATAACAGATCCAGGCAGGAGACATGATGTGATAAAATAGAAAAAAAAGGCAGTCCTGTACCTTAGTAATGATAACGAACTAATGACATTAGCATGTGACCGAGCCGCTCCTCGAACAACAACAAACACGTGTTCGTCTGTAATGGCTGCCGTCTACCGGTGTTCTGAAAAAAAGTTTGTATCCCTGAAAAAAGTTTCCCCACCAGAGGGGGCGCTCGTGAGTAGGAAGTAATC